CCAAATGCCTCCCAGCGGCTGCCATGGAGCCACTCAGGCCACACAATATACTCTTTTTACCGCATCCCAGCTTGGCAAACCTTCTGCGGCATATCCCAAAGGGCCACTCAGGCCACACAATTCTCTTTCTCCGGCGTCTCCCATGGAGCCACTCAGGCCACAGAATTATCTTCTTTACGGCGTCCAAGCCTGCCGTGTGGCAGGCTTCAAAACCCTCCAAGTGCCTCCCGGCGGCTGCCATGGAGCCACTCAGGCCACACAATGCCCTTTTTACCGCATCCAAGCTTGCCAAATGCGGCATATCTCATGGAGCCACTCAGGCCACAGAATTTTTTTTTACGGCGTCCAAGCCTGCCGTTTGGCAGGCTTCAAAACCCTCCACATGCCTTCCGGCGGGTATGGAGCGACTCAGGCCACACAATGCTCTTTCTACCGCATCCAAGCTTGCCAAACCTTCTGCGGCATATCCCATGGAAGAGCCACTCAGGCCACACAATTCTCTTTCTCCGGCGTCTCCCATGGAGCCACTCAGGCCACAGAATTTTCTTTTTACGGCGTCCAAGCCTGCCATTTGGCAGGCTTCAAAACCCTCCAAATGCCTCCCGGCGGCTGCCATGGAGCCACTCAGGCCACACAATGCTCTTTGTACCGTATTGTCTGAATGCTGTTTGGCTCTGCGTACTGCATTGTTGGTTGCTAGTGCATCATGAATCTTGGGGTTTGGAAAGGACTGCTGAGAAAAGGACACCTGCGCTGATAAATCGGGTACTCAGCCAGTTTCAACTTCCATTGATAGCTCTCAAACAAGCAACTTCCTTGTCCTTCAAACCTTCATCACGATTCTGAGTACGGCTACGAGAAAAATGAAGTGGACAAAGTTTACTTGCAAACGTTTCTTGATTCTTGGCTCATCTTAATCTGGAAGCTTACCGGGTCCTGTTCATATCTGGCTCCACAAAAGTCTCCATCACCGTTTCTCCACTTGCGAAATTCAAACTGCTGTCAAAGGCGATGCAGACCTTGCTCCTATTTGGTCCCACTCCCTCCGGTAGCACAGTCACCAACATGTACACCATAAACACCAGTGAGTCGAGAACCTTCCCTCATGTAATACACACAACTGTCAATCTTAGATCTCTCAAAACCAGCTGCTACAAGTTCGCTATCCAGCTTACGGTACCACGCAGAAGGAGAATACTGGTGTTGCTTGTGCTGCTGCTAATGCAAGACAAAGGGGTCGGCGGCACCAGGGCGTTAGCCCATTCTATTACTGTACAGGCCCTCTACCCTGAGCATGAAAGAAAGCTGTCTTTTCAACCATGCTCAATTTACAAATTCCTCCGAAAATGGACCAATCTCAGAATTCCAGGATTGCTTCCCAAGTCAGTTTGACTGGGGGAGCTTTTTTCGGCTTCAAAGGATTCCAAAGGTATATATTACTATCCAATATACATGCACTTTATCCTTCAATGCATAGATGTATAAGGTTTTACCCCTTAATTGTGACGTGCCTAAAACATTCTACAACAAGTTCCTGCCTGTTTTCAAACAAGTTTTGACTTTCCATTCACAGCGGTCCTTGTGATAGAAGTGGTCGTAGAGGCCTTAATCATTTGAATTGAAGACATGCAGTAACACAAGTTTACTGTCTTTGCTTGCCAAATCATTGGTTTAATGCTCCGCTGGGCCTCTGGCGCAAAACATGGTTGTGATCAACGTTGCCATTTACATTGATGTACTTCAAGAGCTTGATTTCGTCCAGTGATTGATCAAAAAAGTCCTCGACATCAGCTGCTGGTACATTACAGACCCAGGAAACAAACAAGCTTGAGTCAGCTATAGTCAGCTTGAGAATGTATGCTACTCAGGTCCACTACGAAATCCACACGGCTTGTGTCTGTGAGAGCCCTCCAGGCGTTAAGCTATTTGAATACGTGTAAATGACTGTCGTGCAACGTCTGTCAATGATCTTACCACGGTGAGACGGTTTGGAAGTTTTTAGAGGCGCAACTTTTTGGAATGCTTGCTCGACAAACCTGCTGACTTGTCCAGGTCGTTCTTCTGACAAATCAGAAGACAGCTGTAGCAGTTTTGGTGTGAAACAAGATTTGCATAGATTTGCATAGATTTGCTGCATGTGGTTCGCAAGTGCTTGCATTTTCTGGCAGCTGCACCACAGCGTGCCCTTGGGCCGTGACCAATTGCAGGTTCGCTCGATTCATGTTCATCGAGCAGGTTGGGTTCCTACCTTCCCTATTTTGCTTGCAGAAAAGCGATGCTAATGGTTTTCAAAAAAGACTTTGACCAAGGCACTGCAACGGCAAAGAAAATATCCACGTCGGGTTGTAGCTTGAGGATGCTTCAGGTACGCACGTTTTGCACACGTAGCATAAGAACTGAACTGCTGCACCAAAAGCAAACCCTGCACAATCATGCACAATCAATATAATTAATCGTATACTCAGACTCCTGGATGTGCATGTATATACTGTATATACATACACGACTAATCACGACTATAAGTATGTTGAGCTACAGTATATTAATGCAATACACGCATAATATTCCCACACAGTTCCAGCACCGTGGATGGGGAAAGTGGCAAAATGTAGATACAATATAATATATATATATATAATACACTGTTTGTGACCACGGGCAAAAGGGTTAAACGGAATGCTGCGTCTAGCCAAGGCCGGTGAAGGTAGAACAGAACATGGCAAGGGTGGCGACAAGTGCTTCCCTTGCATGTACAGTAGAAGGGGGCAAGTTTGACAACTTGTCCATTGTTTGACTGGACCATCAAAAAACTGGCTGCTCTGGTCGCTGCCTTGTCATTCTTGATGATCTTCATGCAAACCATCTTGTTAGTGTCCAAGTCCAAACACTGCACCTCTGAATAAAGTCAGCGTGAGGAATGCCCAAATCTAGCCGAGGTCGGAGCACAAACTCAAGCGCGGGACAGCTCGAGAAAACGCGGCGGAACCGAGATATTCAATGATCTGATACCTTTCAACGGCTCTCCATTGATCTGAGCAAATGTAATCTTCCGATTTGCCAATGCCATCACAGTTTTCGATCAACCAAAGCTTGCCTCGCAGCAACCACTGTGTTTGTGCGGATTGGAAATTCCTGAGTAAATTCAAACTGTCTCAAAATACATCGACACATCCAGAAACCCTCAAGATCCCTCAAGCACTTCTGAAGTCAACGGCAGCAATGTTTATATATGTTTTATACATGGTCATCAAGACAGTCGAGGAAGTGACCTTGCTCTCTTCAAAGCCCGTCTTGTCCCTTTCGAAGACAACCCGCAGATTGAAGGAGTCGAAGATCTGAGATCTTTGCAGCGAGAAAAATCCGAGCACCCTGATGAATCCTGATGACAGAAAAACACACAATGTCAACAAGATTATAAGATTGTAGATTGGTTGTTCAAATTTGAGACTGCCCGCACACCTTGTCGGGATCTACAAGAGATTGATGGAGCATTTTAAGGGAATTCGTGGATCGCCCTTCTGCAAGCCATACCAAACCAACGGGTGGCAGAATTCTTTGCCAGGGCACCGCTCCGTTCAACTCAACGGGGTAGAAGTTATCTCCAGATGGGGCGTACCTCACAGCTGCTGAAGCCGTGTCCAGGGATGTTCAGGAACTGATCACTGAGCACTTTTTCCAGATCCCTTTCTCAACTTTTCGCATCTTTTCGCAACCTATCTTGCATCAGGCTCATCTGACATATCCGACAATCAAGGCCATCGTTGTTGCGTATTAGCAACAACTGCCACCGCTGGGCTACTGTGAAACAACTTCAGGAGTCAGATTCCAACAACAAATGAGACGGGCAGTAGATGCTAAACTCGATTGACCTCGTCTCGCAAGCTACTGATTTGCTGACAATTTACTGACTTGTGAATGTTGAACGCATGTTGAATACAAAATCATTGGAGCATCTGTGGCCCGGTCGGATCTTGCACGAGTATTCGCGGCACATGCCTTGAACAGAGAAAACAGCTTGACATATAATATGGAAACATGTGTTTACATGTCTGAACATCGAAATCCAGTGCAGCTTCGAGGCTCTGGAACATTGAACAGCCCCTGCACACAGCTTTCAGCGCATAGGAGCACCTGTGCAGACTCGCACACAAAAACACTAACAAACAATTCTTTTGAATATATATATATATATAATTACATAAGTATGAATACACAATCTATGATAGTCATTGATAGTCTACATTTAATGATTACGTATATTTACTGTACATTTAATGTACTATCTGGTGCTGGCAGGCAGCAGTATTCCTCAAATATGAACAGGATTGCCGTACATAACCACACTGCAAGCCGGTCATCTGCAGTTCTGTTCCACTTTTTGCGCGGTGTGGCCTCCATACCTTCAAATGCTTGGTGAAAGGTTCGCGAAGTACTAGGAATTTCTACCAAGATGGCATCCTGACGCGTCTGCTCACACTGCAGAGACACGTGCAATGAATACATCTGCAGAGCATCTCGTGCTCGTGCAAATCTGAAATCCTATCCATAGACATTCTATGCATCCTTTGCTTGTGACAGCTTGCGATTGTGATTGCTCTGCTCTGTGTAGCTGTCCGTGGACTTCTCGATCAAATTCAGCTTCTCTCGAAAGTGACCTCATGTTGCACTTCTACTTCACGGACGAACGTTTCAACTGCTTGTGAGACCTTAGATTCCAGCTACTCACGATGTTGGAATCGCTGAACTCATATGCACCTACCTCAGCGTATCAACTCTCCAAGCGCAAGCTGCAGAGTCAGCATGCTTTGACGGCTGGAAATCTTTGCTTCGCACCGGAATCGTCCCCAGCAACATTCTTTTTTCGAAAACTGGTCCGCGTTCACAACCATAGTTGGCTGTGCATCTGGAGAAGCGCTCTCCAGGCACTGACCAGCCTGCACTGAAACGCCAAACACATTGTCAGCTCAAAGTATCTCAATGCATCTCAATTTATCTCGTCATTTTTTCATGCGTCCAGATTACCTCGCATTACCTTCACTTTACTCGACCATTGTTCTCGCACTCGTTGCCGCCATACAACCTTTACCCAATTTCACCCTCTGGGTCGCTGGCGCATTGTAGTTATCTTGCTTTTCCACAGAAGAGTTCGATGTGGTCTCGGTGAATCAGAATGGCAAAACTCATCCGAGTTTTGGAAAAGTCACATCAAGCTTCTTCCGTTGCAAATGTTGCATTGGGCAAATCCCATTGAGCCAAGCTCCAAGCCCTGGCAAGCGCATTGTCCCCCCGGCACCATCCGAAATTGCCACAGGATCTCCAAATAGTAAACCACCAATTCTCAGCAGATCCTGGGAAAACAATGGAGTGACTTGATCATACTTGATTGATCTTGATTGTGCTCCTGGTGCAGCCTTCAAATCTGCCAAACAATCGATGTTCCGCATACACCCCGTTGACAATCCTTGAGTTCCTTGCTTTACAATCAGCTAGTTTGGTGGAATTTACATGGACCTCAAATAATGGGACCACCATGGAAACCCCCCCAATAGCACGGGAAGCTTGCGGGAATGGGGTCCCATCCTACCCCATCTCCATGGACTGGTGTATAGTTTGGACTAGCTGTGCCAGTCCAGTTTTTTTGAAGTTTTATGTGCTTACCCTCTGAGTGAACTGCGCATATCTGCGCCATCTATACAGTTCTTTCGATTATTTGAAAGACTAAGGCATTGGCGTAGTGCACTCCAAAAAGAATGCTTGAGCTGCTTGAAGTATGGACCTTGGTCACCACTACCGAAATTAAATTCAGCACTGGACCATTCCAAATGTCAGGTTGCTTCTGTCGTGCAGCATTGTGCCCATTCCGTGTGGAACTAAGTATGACACAAGAGTCAAGTTTGCATGTCAGTGTGCGTGCGTAGGATTCCACCAGAAGGAATTACATCCCTTCTCAACCTACCCTTGGAGGCTGGCTGTTAGTGGCTGATTTCCGGCATCTCCTCCAAAAGTTTTCCTGACTTCCTGCCAATGGAGCATTGAGGATTCAAAGATTACTCAGCGGGTTAGTGACCTGGCCTACCCCAGGACTGTATGGTTCAACACATCTATTCCCTCAGAGTAAGAGAATGTATATCACATGTTTGAAAACCAACAACGGTCTCTCCCAAATCTGGTGGAGCCTACGTAGAGCATACATGCCTAGACAACAGTGCATGAATATGCATGAATTTGAATAGTTGCACGATAGAGACAATGCTAATTTGTACATGATGACACATGCATAAATGAAGAACTAAGTGTTCATGGAAGTAAGTAGGTAGATACTTGTCACCTATCAATACACATTCATTATATTCATTGACAATATTGATAATATTGTGCCAAAACAAAGTCCAGAAGCAAAGCAGCGCGACCAATCCTGCACAAGTCCCAGCGCATGTTCAAATACTGCAAGTGAACGATGCATCTCAACAGGGTCGTACCTTACCAGGTGCAGACTTTTTGCTTCCCATATGAACATAGAATTGTGACTGATATGATCTGATATGAAAGTTCAGCAAAGTATGGAACTCACATTGACATATTCTGAGCCTCAAACACGCAGCACCAATGGGTGTAGACGCCATCCAGAGACCAGCCCGGCCACTTTTGCAAAACCATCGTTGCCGCTTCAGCGACCTCCTGGGCTGCCAAACCTTCTCGATTTAGGCCAGTATCCACCATGATGTGAAGCCTGTCCCGGAATTCACAACATCTCACAACTTGGTGTCTGCTGAAGTGTAAAGCGTCCTTTGTCCATGAACGAAGGTGCTAGCGGGTAAAAGTAGGTAGGGAGGTTCACACCACGTCCGGGGGTAGCACGAACAAGGGAGAAACACATTGACATAGAAACATGACTTGAAGGAGCATCTGACTGTTGTTGCATCATGAACGCGAGACATGATGGTGGATTTACCCGGACCCTCAAATGAAGTTGAATTTTGGAGACATAGAAGTACACATATAGTATTGCTAGTAGCAGCAAATAATGATAGTGGCACTGGCACAACCAAATAGTAGCGGTAGTAGCAGCTGCAATGGACATGATAATGATTAATTGCTTAGAGGATATGCCAGTTGAATCCTGGTGACGCTCTTAGGAGCATGGAGCTTTCGCTTTCCAGAAAAAATCATCTCGTGCACAGCCGGATGTAGCCTTACTTTCGAGCTGCAAGATGGCCATCGAAGCGCCTCCAAGCAACATGCATTGGAACTGGTATTTTGCTGAGATACCAGTAACTCTTTGAAGGTTCGCACACACCGTCAACTCAACAATTTTCTAATCCGTTTTGATCCTTTTTGCGGTGAGTTTTGAGAAAGCCTGTTGGAGCCAAGCCATGGACAGGACAGAGACGGTAATGTTTGCCTGACAAATGGATTGCCACAGCTACGTCGCTTGTCACACGAGTCCATGAAATTTTTGCAAAATCCTGCCAGGGTGGCAGAAGCCAGTTTGCACATCGTGGCCATCCCGGGAGATCGATACAGCAAGATCATCGGCAAAAACATGGGCACCTCGGATGAAAGTTCAAGCTGAACAACCACAAGATTCTTGCCTATTCTGTTTCTGCCGTGTGTTGTTTTATCATGGTTTATCCATTTTTATCCCATTGTTGTCCTTTGTTCATACGCCTTTGCATCTTCAGAATCGCATTTTGCAACATAAGCAGCTGGTGTCCAAGTGCTACACCCTCACTGCCCCTCACCCAAGACATTGCTTAGCTCGTAACTTCCGGGGCCATGCGCAAAATCAACCTGAAGAGCTGTCAGTGACATCGCGATACTACTGTGACAACTCTGTGACAAGTGGATGATGCAAAAAGATGCCATTGACATTAACCTAATGCCCTCATATGCCCTCAGGATTCTGAGTCCAAAAAGCAATGAAAACACATAAAACCACTAGGTTCCCGACCCAGTCTCAACTTCTGACACAAAAAGTGCATCGATCTTGGCTGAAGCTAGGACTCTGCCTGAGAGCAGCAGAGTCTGGTCAGGCTTCTTCTCTAATCGATTTCATGACCTGTACGATGGGCTTGCACAACATGTTTCTGATACTTCCTGACCATGAGCTTGCATACATTCCCATTCTGCTCTGGTTTATTATGGTTTATTCATGCCTGCCAATACTGCACCGTGTCCATAAGCATTTGCCTGACAGCAGGTCACAAATATGTCTCGGTTTGATTGGTTTCGCGCACGTCCGGCCAAACCTTCAAAACAGCTCCAATTGGTGGAGCTTCTGCAAAGTGCGTTTCTAAGTAGATCCGAACCTTGGCTCATCTTGGCGCTTCCAGCCGCAAGTCCCAGTCATCTGAAACATTCAAAGCATGTTCCCAAGGTTGGCGCAATGTGCAGATTTTCCCTCAATACCCGGCCATCAACCTGAGGCTGCAAAGTTGCCAAGACCCAACACCCTGAGAAGCTTTGAGTTTCTTGAAGCAATCCTTGGAGCAACAGAAGCAATCGAGGAACCTCGGCCCAACTGTTTGGACGCTCCCCCTTTGATAAGTCCAAACATGTCCGTGGCTTTTGCATCACCGGAGGTTCGCTCAAAAGACGCCTTGCACAGTCTATATTTAGGCTTGTGCTGGAAGGGAGGGAACTGCATTCACGGGTCTGATGATCCACAAGTGTCACTTTTTGCCTAGAGAATCCTAGAGATGCATAGAGAGAATTTAGCACAATTTAGTTTCAATCTTGACGTGCGGCAATCGAACAAATAAAAATACAGTAATATACAGCCCAGCCTCCAGTGTTTTCGCACTGCAATGACCTAAAAGACTTCAAGTTCGTCCGTGATTCTCGTGTCCTTCAAAGAATGACTGTCCAATGTCCAACATTGTCCAAGTTGTAAGTTGTCGGGTGTCCAGCTGAGTTCCAAGGCGTTCACAACTTGTTGGCCTTCTGCAAAATAGCGGCGCAGCACTCCTGGAGCCTCAAGTCGCAGACCTTTCCGGTGTGAGAGGTAAATCTCGAAGCCTGAGCATTGTCGCTGGAAGGAGACAACTTGTAACTCAGTGTTTCACTGCTCGGCCCATTTGTGTCATATTCATCCAGAATCATGATAGTTCTATTTCCTTCTACTCTTTGATACTGGTCCTTTTCATCACAATATCTGAAATGTACACTAGGACTATGACGTCACTATGATTTGCTCGTCTTTTTGTCCACTGGCAAAAGCACTGCGGCTCCTGCCTCTGTGTACCAGCCACCTAACTGGACGACATGGATCGTAAGTAGGGTCGCGGATGACGCCAGATTCAGGTCCTTACAAGGAGGTCTGCGAAGGAGAATCTTTGAACCTACCCTGACAATCACTGACAGCTCGATGACATCTGATACTACAACGCTTCGGCATCACAAGGTAACATACAGTAACATGGTATGCCTCTGAGACAATGGCCGTACAACTGCAAAACAATGATGATTTGCGGAGACTTGCGGAGAATGCGCATGGCTCCACGAAGGATAGACAGTTCTTGCCTCACTCAACAGACGGCATGGTGCTAAAAGTAAGCATTTGTGTCGCATGCTGGTGTAGACTCATCACTGGTCAAGATTCCAAGTCTCAAACCCGTTGGTATGGCTGACTATGAGGTTGATGTTGGAGAAAGGAGTTATGTCGTCCAACGCTCTTGTTTCCATTGTTGCCTGCCATTAGGAAAAGGATCTAAGAATCTAAAGTACAGTAGGATGCTAACAGACTCACCGACCACTCAAACGATGTCGGAAAGACGAAATCTGGCGAGGAGCCCTGGCAGAATATATTTGGACACACCAACTGCGAGATACTATCATATATTATCATATTGATAATATATATATATATACATTCATGTTCATTCATATTCTGATCATTTGCCCCATTTCACTGGCAACTTACAAGTCAGAACCTGAGTAACTTCCAAACTCACAGAGTCTCAGAGACACATGTGATCATATGTGTTTTAAGCTTGTCTCAAACTTCGAAAAATCTACTTTGAACATTGAACATCTTAGAAATATTTGGAACTACTGTTGTCACCATGCTCCACGTACTCCGTTTTGTCATCTCGTTTCATGAGAATCTGATGTCAGCTGTTCTGGCCTCAGCCACTGTATATGAGTTTGAACTCATTGGCTTTGCTTGGAGATTTACAGCTCCCCTCAGCTGTCCTGCTGCGACATTCACAACCTGACAATGGCAACAATGGCAACAATGGCAACAATGGCAACAATGGCATGGAATGGCCCTCATGAAAGAATGAAAAGCTGCATTTTGTCATCTTTAAACTCACCCAATGCGAAATTATCAGATGCTCCTGCCTGAATCACGTCGGTCAAATTGTTCCACTCCACAGACTTTTGAAAAACTGCTGCGGCTGCAGGAACTGCTTCTAAAGCCAGAACCTTGCAGACAGGTCCATCCATTTGCTTTTCAATCTTGAACCTCTGATAGCTACTTTCTAACTTTCCCTGGATCCAATCAATTTCCGTAATCTTTCTGTGCTTGGCTTTTTCCAAACCCAGCCAGCCTTGATACGACGAAGACCTGGAACTGCCTGCATACGTTTTGCCTCAGAGGGATCAAAAATTATCAAAATATGTACGTATTCAATGCATTCAAACACTTTTTGCCACAGCAGGCATCATTCAAATAGTGATCTTTAGGCTTGCTCCTTGTTCCCCCTGTGTCAATGTCAGAACCAGTTTGGAACAATGGCAACACACCGATGCAAAGATGAAAGAATGTCAACGCACAAAGGTGACAGACTCATTCACATGCATTCGTTGGAGGTTTCTTGCAACCTGCTAAACTCTCGCAGTTTGGAAGCACGATGCTTCCATGATATGGGCAAAAAAGCCAGCAAAGAAATCAAAGAAAAGGGTCTCTATATTCGAGCAGTCCCAAATGTCTGTGTGTGTGATCTTGCACAGGTCTGGTTGTCTTCTGGAGTGAGGCAGCTACAAGCCATACAGAGCAGTCGCCAAGATTTGCGCCGATCTCAACCACATGAACCTTGACACAATTGAACAATGTTGTTTAATGTTTTACCATATTGAACACATCTCTGCATTATGGTCCAAATGCATTCGTTGCCACTGTGCATCCAAAGCAGGGCTGCCAGCAGCCTGACTCCTTTGCATTGAAATCTAAGATCCAACTGCAGAAGCTCTCGTTCGGTGCAACCGTCGAGCCAAAGTTTGTACCACACGCAGGATTGATTCCTGGCAGCGAAGGTGGTCAAAGGATGTCAAAGGATTGTCAAGGTCTATGAATGTCATTGAATGTTTATATTGATTCGGATTGATTCGTCATATTTCGTCATTCAGGTGAGCTGCACGGGCGCTTAGACCATGCCGGAGGGACATTGCAATAAGGTACTTTGCGAGCCCGGACAAAATCCGATACCAATTCCCTGTAGGGGAAGACAAATAGCTGGTAGTTGATCTTCACGTCGTTCCGCATTCCAACATTGTCAGCCTCAAGCATAGGCAGCAAATAGGTGTAGAGTTCTCGATTTGGTTGAAGGTCATCAAATGCTGATTGATGTGGCATGTCAAAACGAGCCCCCTGCTCCCATCCAGAATTGATGAGGTTGCAGAACGATATCGACTATAGATGTGCATTGAAGCCTCATCGGTAGTGGCAAGATGATTGCAAATGCTGGACATTGCTGGACATTGCTTGACAATTTTCGCAACCGAAACATGTGCACAATCCGTATGAGCAATTTGCTACTTGGCTCCTTTTTGGTTTCTCATGGTTTCTCATTCCCGCCCTGTGCCTATCCAAAAGCCAAAAGAGCTCTGCTCCACCAGGCAAAGTGGACAACTGTTCAAGGCCGAGAAAACTGGCATCGCCTGAGATCCAGCAACAGATGGTACCAACGTTGTACCAACGTTGTACCAACATGGTGGCTTCAGCAATATTCAGTTTGACTCTGAAAAAAAAGGCTGCCCAGCCTGGCAAGACTTGCATCAGAAGTGACTGGGCCTCAACACGACATCCTAACTCTGAGACATTAATGACTAATGGAGAATGCTATACATTGCTATACAGTACATGAACCAAATGGAGAATTGTTCAACTTGTTGGCATGTCTTGCTGAACGGCCGACCTTAGCGATCGCACGCTGAACACCTTCTTGGGCAGAGGAAGCCGAAGCACCTGCCAGAAAAATCCAGAAAATACAGAGTAAATACAGTAGTGTCCTCGAGCCAACTGAATCCACTCCCCAGTTCCTGGTGCTTTCGTTGTCAAACCCTGCCTCTTTGCATAGCAGTACGGCGAGCCTGACTCACAATGATCACTCAAGAGAGAGACGCAGTGGCGTGACGATGTCGTGAAGACAAGAATCAACTTTCTCAATGTCATCTAAATCAATCCCAGAGGCCCTACACCACATGTGAACTATCCTCCATTGCGAATATATCCTGTTAAATGAGCGCACAGCAGAACCTTGCTTAGCAAAGGTATCTATGGAATAACCAAACCACTTGCTGGATCCTGCTCACAGTTCCAAAGACTGGCAACACGCCGCTGTTTGCTGTTCCTTTCAAGTTGCATACACTCTGGTAGTCTATTAATAGAGGTTTTAATGGGAAAAACGAAAAAACATGAAAACACATTCATCAACAAGGGATTATCCATTGCCACGTTTGACCACCAGATTATATTTCTTCCTGGGTCAGCTCTTTCAATGAATAACCAATGTTTTTGTTGGTGTTTCTTGTGTTCTTGTCTAAAGACTCTAAGCTTGGCACCCAGTCTGCCACTGCAAGCGTTGCTGCTGCTCTTAGAACTCGTGCATCTTTGTCCCCTTAGAGCAGAATTTCGGATTGGCAAAGCTTATCCAGCTGAAGTATCATCAAGTATATATATATATATTATATTGGTTCAGGAGCGTGTCCCTGTCCGAGGAGGGTGCCACACCTGCTTTCTGATTGCAAAAAGTCGAGGCTCAACTGCAAGGGAACCGCCTGCACAGTTGCCAAGGAGAAGTGGCCTACTCTACCACATTCATCCACATTCTGCATGGCAAAATCTGATACAAATCATGTCAGATTCTTTCAGATTCTGCTTGCGCATGTTGAGCTTGCTGACCTTCTGCAGGGCAAAGTATTGTCATGTGATTTTGCACATGTGCTTTGCCATCCAACCTCATTGCTCTGAACAGCTTGGTGCAAGGCATAGGAAAAGGAAGTTGCGGCCTTGTCAGCTTGACGAAACCCTTCTAGACTCTAGACTATCCCAAATGTCCAAGCTTGCCACATTTCGAGAGAGGTTGACTCTACTAAACTCTAACTTGTTCACGGTTCACGCGAAAAAGATCAGTGATAAATGCAATGAATGCATGAGTTCAAGTGATTTCGAACAGCGAAGCTGTCTTGGCGAGCTTGGTGAAGTGCAAGGCAAAATTCCGCCGGACGCCAGGCAGTGTCACGCAGCAGGGCAAGGGCCTGAGCTTGTTTTGATAGGGCAGTAATATCACAATGATATGAAAACATAATCACACATCATCAAACAGCATGAAATATCATCAAATATCACCAAAATGCATTAGTCATTAGACATCATATGACATCATGAAGCAATGACTCCTTGAACTGATGCTCTTCCAGACAACGAGCATGGCAGCTGCGGGAATGGATGCAGCACATTGCAATGTTGCGATGGACCTACGAACTGCAGGCAAAATACTCCGAAGACTGGCCAGCAAAACTGTCGGAAGCGCGTGCACTCCAGCTCCTTTTGCCAATCCAGGCCTTCAGTACCAGAAAAAAGCCACCACCCAAATGGTAAGGTAAAGGACCATAAAGGACCCAATGAAAGGCATTCCAAAGCATCAACCAGCAATGCTTCCAAGATCAACTGAGAAATCGTTCTGAGGTGGCAACTCAACCAGTCATCTGCCTGTGAGTTGGCGATCAACCAACTCGAACGAGGCGAGAGTCCATCAGGGTCAGCAGCAATCAAAGCCTTGCAAGTTGGAGCAAAAGCAGCGAGAAGATGCGAGAAGCAAACACTTACTTTAATAGAAATGATACTATATAATGGAGATCGCAAATGCTGTGGACATTGGGACTACAAGTACGGCCAGGTTAGCTCCGCGACCAAATTGGAAATCAAGAGGCAAAACACACACTGGAGAGCACGAACATGACAGCAAAGGAGCGGTCAATGAATCATTTAAAAGCTATTGGTCTTTTGGGTCTGCTGTTTTAAAATAAATGTGCAATTTGTGCAACAGGAATTAAAAGAGCACTTTGATCACTCCTGAATGAAGGACACCAACTTGGATCAATGCGCCTTTCTAACCGAGCTGGAGTTACAACTTGAGGAACAAGAGAAGGTACAGTACAGGGCGCACCAAGCACACAAAATTGTTTTGGTACATCGGTACATGGTTTTAATTACCAGCGAGGCAGGAGAATTCAGGCCACAGGAAAACAAGCCTGGAAAACAATGTAACACGGAACACATAAAAAAGGGGAGACAAGACGGTGCAATTGAAAAGGGAGCCTGGAAGCAAAATGACGATCCGCTTCCTCCCATTTACAGTTGCTCCGGCTTTCCCATTTTTTGTTCTTGATGTGTGTCCTCTCCTTGAATGCACTACGAGACTTAATTGATACTGAGGAAAATCCACTGAGCTAAAGATCTACTGAGCTCCAGACTGTTGACACCAAAGCTTTGAAAGTCAGCTGCGCCCCAGACAAGGAGTCGCCCAAAGACTCCTCCAGCTCTGCCTTGCAAAGATACATATCTCTTCGAAGAAAACACATGCAGGTCTTGTTCGGAGTTCCGAGAAATTCGCATACGTTCTCATCATCACATCTTTCTCTGTGAAGTGTCCAATCTGCAGCTCGCACCGGAAATCCAATCTGCACAAGTCTGCCAATCGCAGTGGCGTCAAACAGTTCCGACCTGAAAGCCACAAGATGCCACAAGAGCACAAGAACAAACCTGTCGTGAGAAAAATAGTTGTTTGACCGCTGAGGCTTTGACTTGTAGTACGAAATTTGGTAGTAGGCCAGGAAAGGAAAGTAGAGCGAGATATTCCTTTGCAAGCTACTAGCATATTGTGCGGCCTTGTCTCGGCTCATCCATCTTTTCTCCAGAGTTCTAAAGGCTTTGAGCCAACGCTTGAGGATTTGAAGCACTTTGAGGAGGCAAAGCACTCTGAAGACAGTTCAAGACCAGAAGAGTTCAAGGTTATCCGACGCAAAGCAAACGTCGCAAAACTCGCAAAGCAAACAAATGTCAAAGACACAAACTACAAGAAGATACAAGAAGAGAACACTTGAGCAAGCAGAGGTGTATTCGAGAAAAACACTGAGGGGTCACAGGACATCCTTCCGGAAGTGCGCTGCTTCCAAGGCCTGCATCGCTGATTCGGACCGAGTCTCTGATGACCCATTGCACAGCAATGCACAGACAAGTTTCAGAGGAATTTTCAGTCATTGGTTTGCTCAAACCAGTCACTTCATCGGATCTTGTTCGCTGCTTCATGCTAATTTGGTGTCCTTTTGGTGAGACTTTCGCAAAGAAGCAACTGACAGGAGCACTTCCTGCCCAAACATGTCGAATTGCTCACGCCAGATCGGCAATGTCAATTTCCGCGCTTGTGAGGCGTTCTGGCGCACAGGAGCTACGCAAGCTCCAGCTCAGCCTTGTGAAGCGTCTTGCCTCCACATTTGTATCACAGCATATCACAGCATTCACAAGGTAAGCAAGAACGAACTCTAGTTCAAACTGCGAGTTTTAGGCGTGACGGAGGAAAATGTTCATCTGCTGAGCCTTGATGACAAGTAAGACTTTTAGGAGTTTCAGCAGGGTCATGAATTTGTAATCATCTGAAAAACACATAAAAACACCACAGCACACACCGCCGGAACGTCTGAACTTCATTGTTTTGCGAACTATCTGACTATCTATTCAGGGTATCCATCCAACATCAATCATTCTGTTTCCAGCAATTTTTCCCCAGGAAATCGAAGATTGCCAGGTAGACCAGTTGAGGTGGAAAGGTAAGAGGACTGGATTACCAGGAAATTTTGACTGGGGGGATCTGGAAGATAGAACATGACATCTGTCCAAGCATCCAAACATCCAAGCATCAAGATGTGAAAGGGTGCACCGTTTGGGTTTTTTAGTGAAACCCATCCGATAAAGAACTCGCTCCAGAGATATTCAGATATTGATTAATATATCAAATACGTTCTTTGCAGTTTAGGTTCTAGGTCTGGCCTGGGAAACACGTTTGAACAGAACTTACATTGAAATTACAAAATATATCAGAATATAAAGAAGCAAGGATTAACAAGAAATCCGGGAGGGTCAAGAGGAAACAGGATCAATGGAGCAAACAGAAAGGGAGCTAGTTGGCATTGGATCACTTTTGCTGGCCTGATGATGATTCGTGGCCTCGGAGGTTTTGACAGCTCTTCCACGTACTCTTGGCTGATTGTTCATTGTTCGCAGTCCGATTTGGGGTCTGCTTAAAGATTTTGAGACGCAAACCATCTTGGTCATCTTAGGTCACAGTATTTCAAAATTCTGCTCATTATTTCTATCCATCTCTGAGTTCTTGGGAGTCGGGCTGTGGTCTCAGCTTCTTGCCAAGACTCTTCTCCTTTGCTGCGGCTGATCAGTACAAACTCCCAAAATCAATGCTCCAACATGAGCGATCAGGTGCAAAGTGAGCCCGCAAGCCCGCATGAAATGTCGAAATGGCGAAATGCGCCTGGTGCATCAAATCATGACAAAACGTTCATGTGCCAATGTGAAATAAAACATATTCAAAGTTTGGTAACATATGGCAACTATGCGGTTGAACTTTTGCTCTTCATGAATTCAATGAATGGCTCGAGAATGCGTCCCATGTGTTGCGATGTGTTGCGTCCTGCGCCACGTGTGGCAGGGGCAAAGCGAGACCAAGGCTGCTGTGGATCAGTCTCCGAGCCGCTGCTGGTGGCCTCGGTGCAGCGTAGCCAGCGTAGCCCGCTGTCCAGTACGGTCTGCATGCAGCGCAATGCGTGTGTGTGTGTATATCTCTATAATCATCTATAAATATCTATAAATATAATATAGATATCTGCATATACACACAATATGTACAAACATACATGAATTACAATTGAATTACATAAGATGTATTAATATTATATGTCATGTCATTCCATCAAAAGCATTCACAGACCCTGTGTTGGAAGGCTAGTCCATATCAATTTCAATGTGGATCTTTGGGGTTTGAGCAGATGGAAGGCAATCAACATCAATCAACAATCCTCTAATCTAGCCAGTCAAAATCACCGTCTGGGTCCATGACGGCTTCTGCTGACGCAAAGCGCCATTTTCTGCGGAGGAGGTTGCCTGGATCTCGACTCGCTGTCGGCCGCATCTAAGCCTCTAAGCTAGTCTCATGCTGTCGTCTCGACATTAGTCTCGACTAAGTTTCTGACAAGTTCAACAGCCTTGCTAAAGGGTGAGAAATGCTCCTCTGCGATATTGCCTCGCAAGGCCAGGTGGATTGTCTCACTGCTTTAGAATTTGTCAAAGCAGATCTGTGATGATCTGTGGTGCAGAGTGTCTGGCCAAGCGGACGGTAGCCAGGCATAGGAAAACGGAGCGGGACCTCAGGAGGCAAAGTAAACTCTCTGAAAACTCTCTATCACTTTCATCCACTATCATTCACTTTCTCAATTCTCCTCACATGTCTCACATTCTCACATGTCTGACTAGTCTCACAATGTCTCGCAATGTCTCACTGGTCTCACATGTCTCGCTGGTCTCACATGTCTCACGTTGATGTGCAAGTGACCTGCGGCGTCGCACCACGCAGCAGGATGCTGAATGGCCTTCCTTGCCTAGCATGGATCACTCAAATCATCGGCACATATCGGCACAAACTTAGATGAGACCGACCTCTCACTACCAACTGCGCAGGGTCAAGAGTCTGCGAAAGATAAATGCAAGTGCAGAGACATGGCGGAAAATGAGCGACCCGCAACATGTTCATTCCATTGAATTCCATTGATTTCGATTGTGTTTCCAAACATTGGATGTGTGGAAGCAAGCTAATTCTGAAAGTCAGATTGAACAAACACCCGTTTTCTGTCAGAGACTTTGCGAATGAAAAAACAAGTGAAAAAAAAACAAGCCAGGTGTACCCCTGACAGACGTGCGGCTGCAGTGGCGGTATTTCAATGCCTGATGTCATTTTGAGTGCCACAGTGCAAGCCTTCAAGCTGCCTGGCAAAACAAGGTCCCATGCCTTCTGCACGAAGGTCAAATGCCATGCCCAAGTTGCGCCCATTCAGCATGAAGGACAACCTAGGACCTGAGCAAGCATTCAGCACAAGCTGATGTTTAGTTTTTCCCTTTCCCCTCTCCCTTCTTAAGCCTTTCTCTCTGTTTCTTGCATAATCTCGCATAGCTGCATGCTGGGGTTCATATTACAGGCATTGCCTTTCCTGTGTCTGGAGACTTGTGCAGCTTTCGACATGAATGTTATCTTTTCGACTATATAAAACTTCAACCATGTTTGTGTCGACACTTTCATGGAACCAGCAGGACAAATAGAGAGATAGAGAGAGAGAGAGAGAGAGCGAGCGGTGGGGCGAGTTGGACAAAGAGGGCAAATGGATAACTGAAACCCCATGCAGAAGCACAGCTGCAACACGAGACAGCCAGTCAGGCAGTTAAGCACACCAATATCCGACTCTGACACTTGGTGATCTGACAAATCAAAGGAGAAAATGATTCATAATACATGCATCTGAGACACCGCATGAGCCGGCTTGCCAATCAAGAAGGGCACTAACCTTGGTCGGAGGCAATTGAGTCTCAGGCGATCGATATTGAACAAGTCGTTAACCATTGTTAACCGAGCAAAATTCGTCACCGAGGCCAGCAAAAACGATGGTAGATGGTAGCAGGATCCTCTGTGAAGCTAAGAGATGCGCAACATCTCCCTGACGGCCAAAGGGAGGAACGCCTATCAAGCAACCTGCACCGATGGGATGGAAAGATCAGGCCAGTTGAGCCCCGTCTGAAAGACAAGTTTTTGAGTCGCAGTAATCTGCAGTCTTGCCGCCTTCTCCAATCAGCTCTCCGTCAGATGAGTATCCAAGCATTCGTCGCCTGAAAGCTGCACCCAAACAACACATTGCAACAGGTTGCAATACTATCTGTGTGCATGTAATTGCATGTATATTTATATATGTGTGATTTTTATTCAAATCCTCTCAAGCCACCACCAAATTCTGCTAATCATCATGATCATCATGTACAATTCCTTTTGGATCCAGATTGCATACCCTTCAGAAAGTACAAACAAATGCCTGGAAATCCTTCCCCTCTGTGTCCCATGTTGACTACACTGACTTGGAAAGGGAATTGAATGCACTGTAAAGCGACAACGTACAGAATTTACGTGCTCCTAAAAGAACTGCGGATGGTAGGGATCAGCAATTTGGTTTAGCAGCTTAGCAGGGAATGGTTGTAGTCGGATAAAAAGTCAAGTCCCTCCGAATCCAAGCTTTCGACGCAGCACTGCGACCACTACTGGCAAGCGCCGATGGTAGTACCAAGGCCTGACTACGTGCATATGTCAGAATCATATGTATACAGTGTTGGGCATTATCTACCTGTATAGTCATATAATATCATACAATCATAATCATATTGATTATATAATTTATAATATATAGATATATATTATACATCCGTATATATATATATTATTATATATATATGTGAGGTCTAGTTATATAAACAGATGCATCATTCCGTATGGCAAATAGCTAGGAATCTGGTTCAAAACATTTGCTTGTTGCCGGGCACCCAGATGAGTCAGTGGCTGGGCTCCAGCCAATCGTCAAATCACAACCTCGACGAAGCTCCACCTGCAGTTCACTGACCCTGGCTGTGATACAACCAAGATAAAGATCAATAAAGTATCAGCAAAGTATCAGCAAAGATACCAAAATGGTGCAAATGGACATAAAATTACATAAATGGACCAAATACTAAATGCATCTAAATGCTCAGGTCTAGAGGAGATGTGGTGAAAATGTGGTGAAAATGTGGTGAAACGCAGCAA